CAGCAGGCAACAATTCCAATGCCATCTCACCACCTCCAACTCAACATCTTCCCTTTGCTTCATTAAGAGAGATAACTCCACGTTTCAACAGTCAGTGTAAAAGTTGTCCAGCTTGAAAACTGCTTCCCACAGAGTTTAGAAGGAGACGTAAGCAGCATGTTACAGATTTTCATATTAAGAAAATCTCCAAGGCTAAAACTGAATCTCCATAAAGAACCCAAAAGTTTGCATTCGGTCCCACTTGCTTCAAAGGAACAGCTGACAGAAGCCAGTGACTATCCATATGGACCATGTTTTCTGACCAGAGTTTAAAATACTGAATTAATTCTAGGCTTCTAATTTGAAAACTCCACTTAAGATCTAGAGCCAGCAAGGATGCTTGATTTTTTACTCCTCTTCAGAAGAACTAAAACTGCCTATACGTAAGCCTTCCAGAAACAAATGATGATTGGGGATTTCTGTATGATGATAGATAACCATTATGTATAAACCAGTCACATAAAACATTTAGAAAGTGCTAGCTCTACAGTTTTAACATGTATATTACATGAAACATCATGTAGACAAATGTTGGCACGTAACCTGGGGCTCGTGTCTCTGTTTCACTGCAGCACATCTAGTCTCACTTTCAGAGGCAGGGAGTAGCTCCTGGCTCTGCTATTGAGCCACAGCAATGGCACCTCTCAGGTATTCCTTAATGGGGAGATCAACACGGCTAAAATGCAGTTATTACGTACCCGAATTCCCTATACAAAATGTTACCTAGACTTTCTATCAGAGCACAGGATCAACTGGCCAAACTTCAAAAATCTTCTGCAAATCATTGGTCTGGTTGGCTATCTGACAAGAGTGTGATCTACTTGCCTGTACAGGGAGAGCAGGGACAAACCGTTCCAAGCATCACTAACCTCCTCACGCATTCCTCTGCCTTGCTTTTGGCTTATTTTCAACTCCTGTCCTGCATGCCTACATTTAATCTTAATTTAACAATTAATCACTAATAGAAAATAACATGTGTAAATACTTATTAACCCTGCAGATTACACGGGGCTATTTCAAGGTTCTTACAGTTCATTATAGGAATAAATGCAGTTTTTTAAATTTTCTAAGTACATATGCACACAACACAGAAAAAGCTCTTTGGTACCTGCGGAGTAGGCAAAGAGTGATTTTAGACTTTGTTTACTACAGCTTTTTTTCAGGCCTCATTTTAAAGCCACCCTGAGAGAGCCGATTAAGGCTGAAATTAAATCTCTTCTTCGAAAGAAAAACGGCGTGTCTCATCTTTACATTTATCCTTTGTCCTCAATAAGAACTGCTCTTCCAAATTAACCTGGTTAGGACACAGATGTTTGAAATTATTTCTTCTTCCAATTTTAGGAAATTTTAAAGCGTTTTGAATTTCTGAGAGATTTTTCTGAAAGTTCATTTTTTCAGTGAGTTTCAAAAAATTACAGCCTTATGTATGGAAATACAGATTTTGATGATTTATTTTTAAAAGAGAATCAAGTTACTGGTATCATTAATTACAAGGTGTCACATACACGTCCTTGACCAATGTAACTAAAGTATACAGTTCTAATTAAAGCTTTAGTGGCTGCTACCTAAAACCTGAAAATTTCAAACGTTTTCCATTTCCTAATCTGATGGTGAAAAGCAAACGCCAGACATTCACACTAGTTCTCCCCAGATCAGAGAATAGATTAGAAACCATTTCAAGCAGGAATTCAAAAACAGATTTTAAGGTAATGGTACAAGCTGATGAAGAGACTAGGTAACTCTACAATGGGCCATCCCCCTCAACTTATTGCTATCCCCAAATCTAAGTTTCGAGGCCTATTTTCTCTACTTCCAAGTCCACTCCACAATCCATGAATCCACAGCTCAGGCTCCTTGTGTGGAGGGCTCCTCTGCTCCAGTCGAGTCATCTGACTTGAACTCTGCTTCCCAGAAACCCCAGCCCCTTACATATCAGAAAGAAAAGGAACAGGAAGAAAACCACAGGAGATACGACACTGTTCAAAGCTGTCACCAAATAAGGAAATTCCCACAAATAAAAAGCATAGTTAGTTTATATTTGGGGTTATCTTTTCAAAACAACAGAAACACTAAAAGAAACCACAACGAGTTAGTAAAGAGCCTCAGTGGGTGTATGTAAGTCGCAACACAAACCTGCTCTGTCCAGGGGCCCTGGCTACTTTACCTGGCCCACTGGGGCATGTAGCAGCTCCCTCAGTGTGCCCAGGTTTCCTCCCAGACAGATTCACTTCTGCACACACATGGGAACCAAACAACCCACGTGTTATGGTTTAAGGGTTACCAGCCTGAAAGGGAAGGACAGGTGGTGTCTGTAGGACCCTGGAGGGTCAGAGATCAGTACTGTTTCCTCCCCTTTCCGGCCACAGTCTATAAAAAACTGAGGTTTTTCGCGGGCTTTTCCTGGTTTCCTGGGCTGCTTCCTGTCGCATCTCTGGGCGGCTGGGGATACCTCCACGTGCTCAGCAGCATCCACCACCATCTGCTCCCCGG